CGTCGATCAGGAGCTTTTGCTTCTCTTATCCCAGCGCGCGGCCCGAGACGGCACGCCCGCGGCACGACAGTTTTTCTCCGGCTGACTCTACGCACTCTGCCCACTTAGCTTTATACCACGTAGTTTTTTTCCCGCCGATCGGGAACTTTTGCTTTTCCCATCCTAGCGCGCGGCCCGAAGCGGCACGCCCGCTGCCCGCGGCCCGAAGCGGCACGCTAGGTCGGCTTCGCGCTCTGGCGCGCGGCTCGAAACAGCACGCTCGCAGCGTGATCTTTTTTCTCCGGCTGGCCCCATGCCCTCCGCCTACTTGAGCTTACGCCCCTCAGCTTTGTCCCCGCCGGACGGGAGCTTTTGCTGTTCTTATCCTAGCGCGCGGCCCAAGACGGCACGCCCGCGGCACGACAGCTTTTCTCCGGCTGACTCTACGCACTCTGCCCACTTAGCTTTATACCACGCAATTATATTTTTTGCCCGCACATCGGGAGTTTTTGTCTTGCTTATCCTAGCGCGCGGCCCGAAGCGGCACGCCCGCTGCCCGCGGCCCGAAACGGCACGCTGGCTCGGCTTCGCGCTCTGGCGCGCGGCCCGACACGGCACGCTCGCAGCGCGATAGCTTTTCCCCGGCAGGCCCCAGGCGCTCTGCCCACCCGAGTTTATGCCCAGCAGTTTTTATCCCAGCCGGACGGGAACTTTTGCTTTGCTTATCCTAGCGCGCGGCCCAAGACGGCACGCCCGCAGCATGATAGATTTTCTCCGGCCGACCCTACGCACTCTGCCCACTTAACTTTATGCCCCGCAGTTTTTTCCCCGCCGATCGGGAACTTTTTTGTTTGTCTTATCCTACCGCGCGGTCCGAAACGGCACGCCCGCGGCCCGCGGCCCGAAACGGCACGCTCGCAGCGCGGTAGTTTTTCCCCGGCTGGCCCTACGCGCTCCGCCTACTTAAGTGTGTGCCCAGCAATTTTACCCCCGCCGCACGGGAGCTTTTTTTTTCTTATCCTCGTGCGCGGCCGGACATGGCGCGCCCTCCTACCGCGCGGCCCGAAACGGCTCGCTAGCTCGGCTCCGCGCTCTCGCGCGCGGCCCGAAACGGCACGCCCGCAGTACGATACTTTTTCTCCGGCAGGGTGTTACATTTCCCCGCCGGGTTGGACCGCCTCCCCCGTATCTCATCCTCCGCGCGCCCAGGCCGCTTTCCGCTGGGCTCGCGGCCCGACACAGCATGCCCGCTCAGCTTCGCGCTCTTGCGTGCAGCCCGAAACGGCACGCTCGCTGCGCGCGGTCTTGCCCGCTGGACTTAATTTATACCCTATATTATCTATAGATCTACCTATCTATCAATCTCTCTATCTACCTCTCTATCTCCTATCTATCTATCTACCTCTCTATTTATTTATCTCTCTATCTCTTTATCTATCTAGGTAGTTATTTGTCTATCTATCTACAAATCTATCTATCTCTGTCTATCTCTGTTTCTCTATCTCTTTCTATCTATTTCTCTAGCTATCTCTATATCTGTTTATTGATCTATCTATCTACCCATCTTTCTCTGCACTTAAAAGTTGCGATGTTCAATCCCCGAAAGTTGACTTCGCGTACTACTTTCGTACTTAAAAGTTGCGATTTTCGAGCCCCAGCTGCGAAAGTGGACTTCACGTACTACTTTCGTAGTTAAAAGTTGCGATTTTCGAGCCCCAGCTACGAAAGTGGACTTCGCGTACTACTTTCGTACTAAAAAGTCGCGATTTTCGAGCCCCAGCTGCGAAAGTGGACTTTGCGTACTACTTTCGTACTTAAAAGTTGCGATTTCCAAGCCCCGGCTGCGAAAGTGGACTTTGCGCACTACTTTCGTACTTAAAAGTTGCGATTTTCAAGCCCCAGCTGCGAAAGTTGACTTCGCGTACTACTTTCGTACTTAAAAGTTGCGATTTTCGAGCCCCGGCTGCGAAAGTTGACCTTGCAAAAATGCTGCGCCTGCCACCAAATCTGTGCTTGACCTTGCTAAAGTGCTGCGCCTGCCACAAAATCTGTACTTGACCTTGCGAAAGTGCTGCGCGTGCCACGAATTTTGCACTTGACCTTGCGAAAGTGCTGCACCTGCCACAAATTCTGTACTTGACCTTGCGAAAGTGATGCGCCTGCCACGAATTTTGTACTTGACCTAGCGAAAGTGCTGCGCCTGCCACGAATTTGGCACTTGACCTTGCGAAAGTGCTGCGCCTGCCACGAAATCGATACTTGACCTTGCGAAAGTGCTGCGCCTGCCACGAAATCTATACTTGACCTTGCGAAAGTGCTGCGCCTGCCACGCAATTCAAACCTTGCGAAACCTTCGCGCGGCCGTGCCAATGGGCCCGTCTCCGAACCCGTTCCGAGTTCCGAACCCGTTCCGAGACCGTTCCGAGACCGCCTCCGTACAGGCGTCGCAGCCGAGGTGGTTTGCGCATTGTCCGGAAGCCTAATTCACGCACAGCGCCAACGTTTTCTGCATCTTGCCATCCCCCAGCTCGCGAAAGTGCTGCGCCTGCCACAAAATCTGTACTTGACCTTGCGAAAGTGCTGCGCGTGCCACGAATTTTGCACTTGACCTTGCGAAAGTGCTGCACCTGCCACAAATTCTGTACTTGACCTTGCGAAAGTGATGCGCCTGCCACGAATTTTGTACTTGACCTTGCGAAAGTGCTGCGCCTGCCACGAATTTGGCACTTGACCTTGCGAAAGTGCTGCGCCTGCCACGAAATCGATACTTGACCTTGCGAAAGTGCTGCGCCTGCCACGAAATCGATACTTGACCTTGCGAAAGTGCTGCGCCTGCCACGCAATTCAAACCTTGCGAAACCTTCGCGCGGCCGTGCCAATGGGCCCGTCTCCGAACCCCGTTCCGAGACCGTTCCGAGACCGTTCCGAGACCGCCTCCGTACAGGCGTCGCAGCCGAGGTGGTTTGCGCACAGTCCGGAAGCCTAATTCACGCACAGCGCCAACGTTTTCTGCATCTTGCCATCCCCCAGCTCGCAGAGAGTGGACGCTTGCGAAAGTGCTGCGCCTGCCACGAAATCGATACTTGACCTTGCGAAAGTGCTGCGCCTGCCACGAAATCTATACTTGACCTTGCGAAAGTGCTGCGCCTGCCACGCAATTCAAACCTTGCGAAACCTTCGCGCGGCCGTGCCAATGGGCCCGTCTCCGAACCCGTTCCGAGACCGTTCCGAGACCGTTCCGAGACCGTTCCGAGACCGTTCCGAGACCGCCTCCGTACAGGCGTCGCAGCCGAGGTGGTTTGCGCACAGTCCGGAAGCCCAATTCACGCACAGCGCCAACGTTTTCTGCATCTTGCCATCCCCCAGCTCGCAGAGAGTGCTTGCGAAAGTGCTGCGCCTGCCACGAAATCTATACTTGAGAAAGCTATCTACGTGTTAAGCTGGCTATATGTCAAAGCTATCTATCTGTCACGCAAGAAAGACCGTTCCGTACAGGCGTCGCAGCCGAGGTGGTTTGCGCACAGTCCGGAAGCCCAATTCACGCACAGCGCCAACGTTTTCTGCATCTTGCCATCCCCCAGCTCGCAGAGAGTGCTTGCGAAAGTGCTGCGCCTGCCACGAAATCTATACTTGAGAAAGCTATCTACGTGTTAAGCTGGCTATATGTCAAAGCTATCTATCTGTCATGCAAGCCTATTGGAAAGCTATCTATCTGTCAAGCTAGCTATATGTCAAAGCTATCTATCTGTCATGCAAGCCTATTGGAAAGCTATCTATCTGTCAAGCTAGCTATATGTCAAAGCTATCTATTTGTCATGCTAGCTACCTGTCATAGCTATATGTCAAAGCAGCTAGCTCATTTAGTTCCAGTACTACGGAAGTTTCTTGTTAAACTTCCTTTGACCATTTGGCTGGCATGGATGCAGTGCTGCGCGGGTGCACTTGAACGGGTGTTCTTACCATTTGGCTGGCATGGATGCAGTGCTGCCCGGGTGCACTTGAGCGGGCGTGCCTATCGTGAGTGTGAATTTCCATATAATTCCCGCGTTTTACGTGGTAGTGGCCGGACATGCACGAAACCTGTGAAAAACCATATGATTTGCGCGTTTTTGCGGCCATTACAGGGGGGAAAGAACCAAAAAAAGGCGCGCGTTTACAGGACGACCGAGCCACTAACAAACAACAAACCGCCAAACAAGAAGCGACAAACACAACAAACAAAATAAAGCGGACACGGGAAGACTCCAGCCACCATCGTCATGTAAGTTCAGACGCAGGCATCGGATACGATGACACTTTCTCCACTTGTTGATTGGTCCTTCTCAAAGTGTTGCGGAATACCGAATGTAGAGTCATGAGGGGGACCGGCCTTCAATAGCACTGAAAGGGTCACAATACATCGAATACATGGGGGTGGTTTGTGTTCTCGAACAACCGATAACGGCCTTTCAGTGTTGATGCTTTGGAGACAAACCCCGAGGAAGCTTCGCAAATGGCAGCAAACCGCATTAGATATGCAAGGCTTATGCAAGTATAAACTCTCTATTAGGCTCTGACGACTCCGATGGACAAGGGGTCCTGGGAGAATACGACTGAAACTCACTTCCTGATTAATCAAAGAAGGTCCAGACTTGTTGTCTGCCAGCAAAATGATCCTCCGCAAAAACTTTAAGCCCGGAAATTGGGGAAGTCGAAACCGAACCCAAGCCGTGCACCTCCAGCCCCGCTGGATGCAAATCACCTTGGCAAGCCTCAGGCTGACGTTGGCTGACGCATTTTGGCCCATCAAGCAAATAATTTCATGCGGACAGCAGGTTGCACGGAGGCATACACGAAGCACAACACAGAATCATTCCCGAGCGAAAGAGCTATCACAGCCCGCGAACGTCATAGACGCACTTTTGGCACACAGCACTGAAACAAGGCAAAATACACGTCTCATCTGCTGAGTGTCTTGCTTTCATGTAAACTACACAATTTGTTTACATGCCATGTCTGGGTTCTGTCGCGATGTCCTTCACTCACTGGGTCCACTGGGTCACCGTCGTCACCTCACCTTGCTCCACCTTGCTTGACCTACATGTTTTCTCTATTGATTGCCCCAATTTAGGCTGCGGCAACATGCTGACTGACTCTACCCCGGCCCATCCCTTCAATTCAAGGTGGAAATGTGTCGTAGAGTTGTGCTCATGTGGGCTTGTCTCAACGTAGGGGACTGCCAGAATAGTTGGTATCCGTTTGGTGTTCCTTTAAACAAGCATAAAAGGGAGAAGGCGCCCTTAAAGAACACAACCTCATTTGCAGGAGGGTGGGTAGAGCTATTCTTTTCTCCCACTTTCCTGTATCTACGGAAACCTTTCCGCAAGCGCGGTTGCAATGGGTTCGTACTTCGCCAAGGTCCCTTCAAAGCCCAATCCCACACACACACACACACACCACGTCCGGATTTATTTACGATGGACGGGAGGGTGCAAATGGAATCCCTAGGAATCAACGACCAGGACTCCCACTCACGAGTGCCCAAAAACAAGCACCCCTTTTGTTTGCCACAAAAATGGACTGAACCACCGCCAAAAATGGACTGAACCACCGCCGTTTTGTATGTTTTGTACAGGATTCCCTCAATTTCCCCCTTAAGCAGAACCCACCAACAGCAAGCTTGAAAAGCAGCCGGGCCCGGAAGGTCTGTGGTGTACCAGCCTTTGAAGGGAATAACATTCATCGGATGGAAGCCCCACAGCGTCACTTCGGATCCTGCCCGGCGCAATAACTCCTTCCGAGGCGTCCGCAGGTGCAGCTTCCTTCGGCGCACCAGCCAGCCTCGAGCCTGCGCCTGAGAAGAACGCGCTCTTTTTTTCTCGCCGTGGGTTTGGCGATGTCTCAGCATTGTTTCATACATGGAGTGTGTGGCAATCGGAGGAAAAAAATGGGGAGTCGAGACGAACTCGTAGACGATCTTTGGGAGCCCTACTCGGCAGCCATTGGGAAAAAGGCTTCCCACCAAAACAACCGGCAAAGCTCCTCAACAAATCGATGAAGCGGAAAGTCGCGTGGACTCAAAGCGCAGCACAAGTGGCTTAGAGGTATCATCTCCACTCTTGGTATGGTAGCAAACAACTTTGTTTTTTGCAGACCCCCAGTAAAAATGAACAGAACCAAAAAACTAAAAAACATGCCAAGAACAGTGAAGGTATGAGTTCGTTACAACGTGAATATAAAGTGGATATCGTTGACCCCCGAAATATAGGACTTGGACATACAAGATCAGCCTTGTGGAACGTGACTAAACATGGATCAAAAGCAGGCGACCACAAGGCGAGCAGGGGCGGGCGGGGGTCAAAATTAGGGGCCCTTTTCGGTATCCCCCTTAAAAAGATGGCACACAACGGCGGAACTGAACTGGAGTCCCAAAATGACAAACCCTCAGTAAAATGGGGCGAACATTTTGGTTTGGGGTAAAAGCAGGGTTTGCTATCTTCTGGCGTCAGCTTTGGGTTTCCCGATCACCAAATACCTCTGCAACCTGCGTTTCCACTCAACAAGTGTGGTGGGAATGATTCCATGCCACTGATGGCTTCCTCTGATCGGGAGTGATACGGAAGTCTTCACGTGTCACAAGGAGGCTGGTCTAAATTTGGGCTTGCAACGTTGCTGGAACAAAACTGTTGGCACCTGGGAAGGAACAAGCACAGGTGTTTTGACCCGCACCTCCCGGGTCGCCAGTGGAAAAGCATCATAGAAGCGCAATGGGCAGTAAAAGCCACAGCTTAGGGGGAGGCCTACTCTCTTGGGGGGGGGCTCTAGGATGAATCCCTGCAGCTAGTGTGGATAAGAGCAAAGCACGCATCAAACTCAGAGCTCTGCGGGGGCTCAACCTCCCTGAGGGGACACGCCAGAACCCAAGCAAGCCTTCTCAATTGCTACTGACCAGAAATGAGTGCCTACTACTGCAACGCGCCCACCCTCCTGCCATTCTGGAATCAATCACATGTCGAGCTTCCCTACTGGTTCAAACCAAGGAAAACCAAGCAAGTTCAGGATCAATAAGCAAAACGCTGTCTTAGAGCTACTACCTATCGGTGGATTTACGCAGACCCACTTCCAGTTTGGTCGGCTGGTTTAAAAGATTTAATGCATGCTCTGGTAAATGAAGGGCAAACGACCCCAAGGTTGAGCCCAACAATAGATCAGAAAAAAAGGTCTAGGGCTCAGTTGTGAACCTTGGGAAAAAAGATCGGCCATCAGACCATCATCAAACCATCAGATCAATTGCATCAGACCATCAAACCCTTGAGACTGTCCAGCCCACCCCATCAGCCCAGCTGGTCACATGCGCCAGCCGCGTGCGCCATGCGTCAGCCGTGCGAAAACGCTGCTCGCCTCTATGACCGTCGCCTTCTGTTCCTTCACCTGGCCGAAAGCTGGCCGGAACCCTTGGACTCACCGCTCCCCACGAACGCAGTGGGAGGGCATGTGGAAGATCGTGATCTTCCTCTAGGGACCCACTGGGTGCCATGGCAACGTGGGAAACAGCGTACTTGACTTGTTCCCTTTCTTTCCATGTACACACACCCACACACACACACACCCTTGTGTGTCCTCACATGGTGGCTGTGCAACAAGCTCAAATTCCTGTGACCTGCAAAAAGCTTGACTCTGTAATTACTAGTCAGCGGGCAGCTCTGATTCTCCGCCAAGTTGAAGTGTTTTTTTGGCCGGACCAAAAAGACTCCAAACTTGCACATTGGGTTGGTCTTCCTAGTTGGATGGGATCCGAACCCTAAATTCATATCGACACAACACCGATTGTGCATCGCTCAACACATCAACTTCGGGCTTTCTAATTCTAACCTGGGCATGAATCAAGGCTTTTACAATATCAGGCAATTACCCGAAACACGCTCTGCACACTTCCTCGGTGATCATTCACAAACATCTACCTGACATAGGAAACTCTATGATAGTGAAGGACCAACACATCACAGGACTTTGGCTGCTTCGCCTAAGAAGCAGCCTCCCCAGGCGATTGCGCCTGCTGCCACACGCGCTTCCGCAAGGCATGGCCGCGGGCGACCTTCTGAATCCTTACCTTGGGAGCGATTTCCCGCGAAGGATTCGAATGATGTCCCACCCACTAAGGGAAACATATACCAGCCCTAATTCCACATTCTTATCGTACACTCATGACTTCATGTGTTTTTTGCAGCCAGTCGCAAAGGCCCTGCCCTCTTGGGGCTCGGAACACCTCCTTCCAAAAGTGATGACGTTGGGTTCGTGGCCAGGGCCAAAATCCAAGGTGAAGCGTTTTGACGGCCTGGGCTTATGGGTCAGTTGGTCCCTCTGGAAATTTCAAGGCTAGGAAAACGGTTGCGCCAGACATATTACACATACATACTGTGGATGGACGAAATCCTGCACCACTTGGAAACCATGGGAAACCATTGCTTGTTGGCATTTACAGCGGAAGCATCATTCCAGGTTTCTTAGGTGGTGCAGGAATTCGTCCTCCGAATCGCCAGGCAAGCAAAGGCTCTTGTCTAGGTGGGTGCGTGTGTTTTACTGGCCATCCCGAAGAGTACCAAGCCTACGCATCATTGCACAAAGGTCCGACTGCAACATCCAACACAAAGCAAACTTAGTCGGTTCGTTCCACTTGGACGAACAGCATGAACAGCCTAGGATTCACGCGCTTGAAACATGGGTCCCCAATGGTCCCCAACCCACTAGCTGTTGCAACCAGAACGCAGCTCATTGAAACCCATCTGTAAAATCTCACTTGCCCAAAGGACCCAGAAATTAAAGGTTAACCTTTTGGGTCCATGACTAAAAATGGACCAAATCATGGAAGCCAAAAGGTCGAAAGGTCGGCTTTGGGCAAGTGAGAAATGCAACTCTAGAGGGGAAATCCATTGACCCCTGGGAAAACATGCCCCGTGTCAAGCAGCCGCCCCTAACGGCCCTGGTTGTTCTCAGAATTCTGCCCGAACCCTTCCCCAAAGGCCAAGCTTGGAGGTCGCTGCCCCTGATTTCTGCCAGGAACCTCACATCCTTAAATCCTCCCCAATGCGCCGAAGTGCAATTTTTCCATCTTCCATTCAGTAGCCTGGACAATTATGAGAGATGTTTCCAGTAGTGAAATCGATTCCCTTTAAAACCAACAGGAAAAATACAAAAAATATCCGTTTCAGCCACTGGCAAGTCGTGGAATCCAGTCGCAGGTCGAGCCGAGGCTGGCACCGCCGCATGCCTGGCGCGGGTGTAGCGCCGGATGAACTTCTTGCGGACCAGCGCCGCACGGATCAAGGCCTCGCAACACGAGCGGAAACGTTTCGGTGTCACACCTCCGGTAAAGAGCTGTCCACACCTACTGGGCGTGATATTTGTTTGTTTTTGGGGGGGACCCCCGTCCAAAATGGTGGTTCTCCTTTGGATGTTCCTTAAAACCGTGCAAAAAAGGCACCCGTCTTTGGGAGGTCGTTCAAGGAATTGCAAACACAAGTCTTCAAGATCTGTTTAGTTTAGACAAATCCTTGAATCTGAATATATTAGATTGAGAAGCCTCGGGCGGACATCATCAACACTGGAATTGGTGCCCGCCACTTGATCCTAGGCAGCAAGAAAACACGTTGGGTTACCCTACCTCCACACATCATGCCCCCAGTGCCCACAACGGGGATATTAATGGTTCCTTCATTCAAGGGTACCCCCTCCATCCATACATTACTTGGATTGTTGCTTCGGGGTGGGGATAAGGCACGATGCGAACTTCCCGCATTGTCAAGCCACTTGATTGTTCTTTGCACCCCCCCCTGCTCGACTAAACCCGGCCCCAACAAACAGAGGACTAAAACCTGCGGTCTGGCGCTTTGATGTTGACCCATACCCACATTGTCAACAAGGTTCCCCCAGTTTTGCGCGATCAGAATAAGGGTAATTACCCACTTCTTTATCTTTATTTTTCGTCTATTTTAGTAGGGTCCCGAACCCTTCCCCAACAAAAACGAGAGAGGAGGGCACCAATTGCTGGGGGGCCCAGTCAACCCCTTTTTTTTTTGCCGGGGAGCCCTCCCCTCCCCCAAAAACGACACGGGAGAGGAGGGGGGCCCAGTCCAAGCTGAAGCTCCAACCTTCGACCCCCTCGGTCTCCGGGGTCTCCTGGCCTGGATCCGCTGGGCCGCGCGGAAGCGGGCGCGGGCGCGCTCAAACCTGGGCTCGTGGGGGGGCTGGGGGGTTGGGAGGGGTGGGGTGAAGCCATGTTCCTTGGGGGGTGGGGGGGAAAACACGTAAAAAAATGGGGAAGGAATGATGGAGGGTGGCGCGACATGGGGGTGTCATCTGAGTTTGTTCCTTATTTTTTTGTGTTGTCTTCTTATTTGTTTAATTCATAGAGTTGGTACCCTTTTTGGTGGGTGGTTAAAGGGAAACCCAGGGCGAAACCGACAACCTTTGTTTGGGGGGGTCTCTCCAACATCTCAGCTGGTGCGATAGGCAGGGAATGAGAAAGGGAATGACCCTGATAAACCTTTTTCGGGGAATCCCTGAGGTCATACCCACATTCCCTACTGAGCAGCAAGGCAACCCTTGTTTGGTGGTTTGGATTGAAGGAACTGGGGGTCCAATTCCCAAACGAATTCAAACCCCCAGACGTTACCTGAAACAACTGACCGCTTCTCTGCGCTAGTCGCCAAGGCCCGCGCTCCGCCCGCGCCATCTTGCGCCGGAGCCGGCCCACCTCCCGTTTTGTGGAAGACCAGGCGGCCGGAAAGAGAAACCGCCGAAAGCCGACAAACACGAAAGGCCCATTTGGCTGTGGGTGTCAAAACCAATGGGATCTCATTTTGGTTGGTAGGTGAATTCACCACCCATTTTAGAACCTATTTGAGTGGGGATTGGGATGTAGACTGGCGGTACGGGATTTTGACCCATGGCCATTTGAGTGAAAACCTGTTCTAGGGGGTTGATTCCCCATTCTTTTCAACCACCCTTCTTTTTCAACAACCAGTTGTTTCCCCTGCATGTTTGCTGGCTTCCTGAAAAAAAAACCGACCGTGTAGAGAACCAAACGGGTGGCCGCTCCCATTTGTGGTTACTCATCTTCACTTACCCGGGTTTTGATCAACACGGGCTCCCTTTTGGAGTCCCTCGAAACCCCGGAACGGGTCCGCTTAGAAACTGACGCATCCATGTAGGGGCAAACAGAACGCTTTAGATGGGTATTCAAGAGAAAACAAAAGGAACTCCAATGCGATTGGGAGAACAAAACCCTTTGAATGGCTAGATCAGGGAATAAACCACATCGCTCATTTTGGCTTACTTCTGGAAACCACTCACCAACTAGTAAGGAATCCCCTAAGGGAACTTTTTCGTGGTGCTCATGTTGCCCAGTGGGCTCCTTACAACTTCTGCGCAGTTGGCATCCTCTCGCGCTCCTTGGGGCGCGCCTTGGTCCGCGCCAACCAGCCCCGGAGGTTCCGCTGGATCATCACCTCGCAGCCCGCGAGAATCCGCCGCGAGACTGGCACGCAAGCCCGAGGCCCTGGAAAAATCCAAAGAATTCAAAGATTGAACTCTCCTTTCTAACGGTCTTCCCCATTATTTCCCGCAAGCCTGCTTTCTGGAAAACC